TGATTTTAGATTGACAGTCTGATACTTTCTAAAAATAAATTTTAAAAACCCACGAAACTCAGATCCCACTTAATTTCAAGCACAGTACTGAAGCTCTTCTTGAATGCCAAATAATCAACTTATTCTCATTTCCTTATTCTCCTTTGTTTAATAAAATCAATAGATGAAGCCAAATAAGAATATTTCTGTTTCAGCCATTTGCTAGTTTTGGAACGATAAATATTCAGTTGTTACCAAGAGAGCAAGAATAACTCTTCTTGCAGTTAAAAACAAAATTGAGATCTTTTCACTCCATTTCATTTGAAGGCAGGGAAATACAATGACACCTCATCATGGCATCGGTGTATTTTTGAGAAAGCCAAATCAACAACTCCCCACATGGTAACTGTGAAATGTACAATGTCTGCTCCTGGGAACAATTTTCTGAAGTTGGCACAAAAATCTGAACCTTATTTTCAAGGTTCTAATATAATATTCTGCGTGGATCACGTTCCTATTTTATTTTGTTATCAGAAAGCATCTGCAGTGCTGCATGCCTGTTAAAGCCAGAATAAAATTAATACATCTAAACTCACTAATGCTACCGTTTCCTGCCAGACAATTTATTTTGATGGTCATACATATGCTTTTAATTTGTTCCACAAAATGTTCTAACATTTCTGACACTTGAGGAAATTAGTTAGAAGAACATGACGGTAGACAGAGAAAAATCTCGTTAATTATAAATATTTATCCTATAGGTGTACCAGCAGTCTATAGTGGTAGCAACCATTTTAACAGGCACAACTGTTATCTTCTGTGGAGAAGAGCAAACCACAGACCATCTTTTACAATGCAGTCTGAGTCCTGCCACATGTACAATGGAGGACCTTCTTATAGCAACACCAGAGGCCCTCCAAGTGGCCAGCTACTGGTCAAAGGACATTTAATAGAATGCCAGGTTTTCAAACTATGTGGGTTTTTTGTCTGTTTTTTAAAACTGTACCCTTGGTTTGTTCCTGATACGACAAATAAATAAATAAATAAATAATCTTCTTTACAATTAGTTGCTAAAAATACACATGAAATGAAATATCTTTGAGTAGTTTCAATAAAATGACCTATGTTTTCATCCTCTGATTTCACAGTGACCTTCTCTATATAACATTATTATTATTATTATTATTATTATTATTATTATTACCCCACCACTATCTCCCCAAAGGGACTTGGGGCAGCTCACAAAAGCACTCCAAGGTGCAACAAATAAATAGACTTACCTAGCATAAAAACAATACACAAAATTGACTGAATACAAAACAATGGACAACACCAAATGATAAAATTAGAATTTAAAATTTATAAAACACAGTAGCACCTACTGGTAACTGGGCTTCTTCAAGTAATGATCTAAAGTGCTGAAGTAACAAATGGTCATCGTCACATATAACCATAGTAGACTACTCAAGGTCAGAGGCTATGGAAACAGGTACACATAATGCATCTGTAAATATTGATATTGAACTACTAGATCCTATACAGTATGTCGATGTAAATGGGTTTATCTGATATAAAATGTGGATAATTACTGAAGGTCAGTCCTATTAAAACACGATAATAAATAATTCCCCCATCTGTGGCTCCAGCTCCATTTTTTCCTTTTTAAAGATCACATCAGGACTTCTCCAAGTGATAAGCTGCTCTTTCTATCAAAACACAGCCAAATGCCAGTTCCTGTGAAGAACTACGAGTCCCATCATGTGCAAATTTCCCTTTTGGCTCCAGACAGAAATAATCTCATGTGCACTGAACTGAAATATGCACAAGAAGGTTACAGAACCCTCCGCTCCAAAAAGAGCAGAGTGGATGAGTGGGTGATCTGTCATAACATGTTTAGAACAAAGCAATTAGAGGGAAGTAATTTCCCATTTTTCAAAGAACGAGGTGACACATCCCGAGTCTTTGAGGCTGCGCTACCCCAGGGAAGTCTCGAGAAAAATAAAACAAAGGCACACTGTCACAAAACATGACACCACACAACATGTAAGAGAAGAGCAACAAGGTGAATGTTAAAAGGCAGGGTTGAAAATGCATCTGTATTTGCATCTCCGGAAGAAACGAAGCACACATGGCTCAAAAAGAAAAAAAAAAAGATGGGAGAATCATGATGTGTTGTCATTAAGCAGCCTAGTGGTTAACAAATATATGGTGGACAATAAAAGATGCTGACCAGCTAGCTTCTTATTGGAAAAGGATTAAAAAAGCTGACATACCAGAACAACAAAAGACACATCTTTCATGCCCAAAAGGATTCTTGTGTTTATATTCGTCTAAAGGGAAGAGTCAGTAATCAGTCAGTTGGAAATGGTTTCCTTAGAGACAGTAGAACCTGCTGAATTCTAGCCAGAAGAAAAAAAAGAAAGATGCTAAGATTTCTCATGCCTTGGCTCCCTCCTAGAGAAATGTTTTGTCATAAAATGTGTGGGGCTAGCCTTTGCAGGAAAGGGTGAGCGAGTGTGAAAAAAATAACATGAGCTCATAAGCACCTTCTTTGCAAGTGCCCAGAGGAGTGTACTATCTTAAGATAAAGAGTTCAATCTCATGGCCTAGAGCATGCTCACACCCTTTTTGCATCTCGCTGCTAAGTACTTTAGACATGGCAAGTTGAAATCATGTCCAACTGGCAAAAAACATTCTATAAGATCTAAGAAGCTGGCAGTCATTTCTCATTTTACTCTGGACTTCATCTTTGCTCTTGAAAGAGTCCTGGGCCAAAAGGCAGTCTTGGAAGCTTCTGCTCAAACAAAAAAAAAAAAAAAGGCTCACTTGCACTCATTGATGCGATGATTGCAACATTACTTCATTTTTCAGAAAAACAAGCAAACAAATAGTAACTACTGCCGTGACAAGAGAAGGACAAAGAGAAACTTTCTTCTCTCTATATACAATGTATCTCAATGATAACAATGCACAACTAAAAGGAAAATGTGTACTACTGCAATGTCATACAACACTGTGGTATTAGCACAATCTTTCCACCGCTTTGGACACTGAGAAGAGCAATATTCATCAATAAGGTTCATACTGGAGACATGTACATCATGTGTTGCCATTGACTCTCATATGGAATTTCCCAATGGACAGTCTCACCCTAGGCATCATGAAGACAGACCACTAGTGGTATGTAAAGACTGGGTTTTGACTACTTACGAGGCTAAAGTTTGTGGAAATGGAGACTGCGTTGCCCATGCTTAAACTAAATGAATCTGAAAGCAGACTGCTACACTCTGATACAAATAGTTTTGGTTTTCAGTCTCTTTTGGAGACTGAAAAAAAGTCAGGAAACCAGAAAGCATAGTAAAGGTAAAGATTCCCCTTGACATTAAGTCTAGTAATGCCTGACTCCGGGGTGGTGGTGCTCATCTCCATTTCTAAGCCGAAGAGCCGGTGTTGTCTGAAGACACCTCCAAGACCATGTGGCTAGCATGACTTCAAGGAGCACCGTTATCTTCCTGCAGAAGCGGTACCCATTGATCTACTCACATTTGGATGTTTTCGAACTGCTAGGTTGGCAGAAATTGGGGCTAACAGTGGGAGCTCACCTCGCTCCCTGGATTCAAACCACCAACCTTTCGGTCAGCAAGTTCAGCAGCTCAGAGGTTTAACCTGCTGCGCTACCGGGGGTGGCATACTTCCACAGTATGGACTAGTTTTAAGGATGATGCTTGTAGAGTATACTCCATTGTGGGTTCCAATGACTATGTATTTCAATTATTTAATTTTAATTGTTACTATTACTAAAACAATTTGATTAGTTTTGTTTCCATGTATCATGCAGCTATTCCAACTACGCTAGATATGGTGAAATTCTGACAAAATTTTATAAACTTTTTTCACAGTGCCATCTCATTGAGATATACAAGCAACAAGAGGATAGGATCTTAAACCATGAGGATTTTTAATTTAGCTGTCTTTGTTTATGGGCCAACTGCATGTATGCATATATTATAGGGACAGAAATGTAAGCTAAGTTACAGCATGATATGGAGATCAGGGGGCTATGCACAAGCCTTCACAGAAAGAGTGTGTTTTTATGAAGAGTTTGGGGCAGCAAGAGAATTGGATTCCCTGTATGAAGGGCAGCAGGAGAGAAGTAATAGCAGGAGATGTTTAGATAGTTATTTACTTATATTTTGAAGTTTTATACTGTTTTAATTGTTAGGATTGATTTGAGCAGTATGCTGTCCTGAAATCTTTTGGGATTGGGCAGGATATAAATGTTTCAATAAAGAAGTACAGATTATAAGTACAGTAAAGCAAAACAGATTGTAAATACAGATTATAAATACAGGATATAAATATTTTAATAAAGAAATACCCATCACTGTCTCTCAAAGCAGTTACTATCCTCCCAACTCAAGAACAGAAAACGGAATGTTGGTGAACAAAGCTAACCTTAAAAGCTGTGGCAAAGACACCAAGAACTGGGAAACCCTGGCCCTTGAGCACTCTAAATGGAGGTCAAGTGTGACCAGCAGTGCTGTGGAATTTGAAGATGTTTGAATGGAGGGCAAAATGGAGAAACGTGCCAAGAGGAAGGCACGTCAAACTAACCCTGACTGGGACTGCCTTTCACTGTCGAAAAAACATAAGGGTCAAGAATAGGGCTCTACAGTCACCTACGTATCCACCACCAAGACACCACACTTGGAAGGCCATCCTACTTGGACAATGAAGGATCATCTAAGTAAGCAAAGTGCAGATTATAAGAAACAGGAGCAGTGGCCTAGTCTAGCAAAACAGTTCTTATGTTCCTAACTGTCTGTTCCATCTTTCCTGTGATAGGGGGAATATAAGGAAGAGTTAGTGACAGAGCAAGGTTAAACTTCTTTTCTATTTCCTTTGGCATTTGATCATAAATCAGTTAGTCATCACTCGAGGAGTCAGCAGAAATGCATGCCTCAAAATGTCACAGGGAGATCTGAATATACAGCTACTGATTAAAAGTCAAGGAAACTTACAGCTAAAAGTACTACATTTCTTTTATGAGCTGCATCAGCTTCTTGCGTTTGCCATGTCTTTTCAGCTTCTTTGTCTCCTCGATGACTCTCCATCTGCTGAAGCAACACCAATCTCTGAGACAGGCTAGAAAAGGGAAACATTCTGATAAGTTGGCAGACCAATCTTTCCGCACAACATTCAGAAAGACAACCACATTTTACCCTCACACAGCCTTCCTCTAGTAATGTTGAACACAGTGTGGGTGCACTGAAGGAGGGGAAGCACAGGAAGTCCCATCCTTGCTGTGCTCCCATGGAGAAAGTAACCATCATGTTGTACAACAAGCAGTCTCTGTGCGCAGTTGAAACATCAAGAACTGAACACTGCAGAAGAAATGGGCTTGCGACACAGTGCTGGGAATCTGAAGAGTTACTAGATTCATCAGTTTCTGCAGTTATATGTAACATCAGAAAATGTTGATCATTTCCGCTACCTTGGCAGCCACCTCTCCACAAAAGTCAACATTGACACTGAAATACAACACTACCTGAGCTCTGCGAGTGCAACTTTTTTCCGAATGAACCAAAGAGTGTTTGAGGACCGGGACATCCATAGGGATACCAAGGTACTTATTAATAAAGCTATTGTCCCCCCCTCCCCAATCCTGCTATAAGCCTGCGAGATGTGGACTATCTACAGTCACATGCAACTCCTAGAACGATTCCATCACTGCTGCCTCCAGAAAATCCTGCAAATCTCTTGGGGAGACAAGCAGACAAATGTCAGCATGCTGGAAGAAGCAAAGACCACCAGTACTGAAGCGATGCTCCTCCGCCATCACCTCCGCTGGACCGGCCACGTTGTCCGGATGCCTGACTACTGTCTCCCAAAGCAGCTGCTCTATTCCAAACTCAAGAATGGAAAACAGAATGTTGGTGGACAGGAAAAGAGATTTAAAGATGGGCTCAAAGCCAACCTTAAAAACTCTGGCATAGACACTGAGAACTGGGAAGCCCTGGCCCTTGAGCGTTCCAGGTGGAGGTCAGCTGTGACCAGCAGTGCTGTAGAATTTGAAGAAGCACAAATGGAGGGCAAAAGAGAGAAATGTGCCAAGAGGGAGGTGCATCAAGCCAACCCCAACCGAGATCACCTTCCACCTGGAAACCAATGCCCTCACTGCTGGAGAAGATGCAAATCAAGAATAGGGCTCCACAGTTGCCTATGGACCCATGAATAGACTGATCTTGGAGGACTATCCTACTTGGACAACTAGGGATCACCTAAGTGAAGTGAAGTGCAGTTATATGTAGCTTTGCAGACTGAAGCAATATCATGTTTAGAAGGAAGGTTGTTCTGTTCTTAATGTGAGCTTCACCATTGCTTTAACCGATTTGTTTTTCAATTATGTACTCCTTCTGCTTGCTCACACATATATTTGTTCTTCCAGAAATTGGCTTTTTTCTTTCAGAGAAGATAACTCATTTCTTGTATGTTTCTCCCATATTCCAAAGTTTCATTGCTATTTCCAACTTGCTTGCCAGGTTCCAACATGATCAACCTTTCTATCATAATATCCCTAGATTAGTTGTTTTCTCCTTACTTAATGAGGAGGATAATGTTGCATTCTCAGAGATAATCTCCCACAGAGAAATCACTAGTAGGAGATTTAATTAAGAACACCGAGAAGTGGAACTGAGACGGGTCTGATGATTGCATGGTGACTTGCCTGGTGTGAAAGTTGTAGGCATCTTGATTTGTTTAAGTAGGCTGCTAGTGTGAATCAACAGATGTGCTATATGTTGGTAGCAACAACATTATGAAACATTGCCATGAGACTCTGGAGCTACAATACTGGAATTTGGGACTATTAAAGGTTGAAGTTCACGAATGTTACTGGTTCTAAAACAGAGACACTTGATTATGTGGTCATAATGAATGAGATATTGGAAGGAATGCTTGTTTATGTGTGCCAGGATAAACTTCATCTGTACAGAATTGGAAATCTGGCACTTGGTTCAAAAGGGTAGACATCGTGAACTTGGAATTAAAAGAATTACAGAAACATTTTAAATTGTCTTTTGAGATGACTTGTGATATGCTTACCTTATGTACTCATGTATAAGTCTCCAAATTATAATAAAAACCCACCAAAACATGTGCACAGTTCAGTGTGTGTTCTGTACCTCAATTTTTTTTAAAAAAGGAATCGTTCACTTCTCTAAGTAGAGTTGTGAAACATAAGAGCTTACTTTATAACAGGAGAACCTAAAAGAAGCACCAACCCTCCTCTATTCTCTTTCTTGTGGTGCTGCTTATGGCCTTTGTTGAAGACCCAGGCAAGAAAATATAACAACAACAACAACAACTTTATTCTTATATCCTGACACCATTTCCCGAAGGAACTTGGGGCGGCTTACAGATGGCACAAAGTGCCTAAAAACAAACATAAAAGTGAACACAATATAAAATAAAATAAAACAGACTTAATCAAGCTGCAATCTTCTAACCATGGTGGTGAATTTCTGGCATCATGGCCGGGTATAAACACTGGAATAAAATAAATGCCATCTGCAATAATGGAGAGAGGGCATGGGATAAAGTGCAGGATGTGCAACTACTATGTAGGACAACTAGGGGCTAAATATTCTCAAAGGCTTGATTGAAGAGCCACGTCTTCAAGTCCCTACGAAAGGAGGACAGTGTGGGGACCTGTCTAATCTCCCCAGGGAGGGAGTTCCAAAGCTGGGGGGCCACCACTGAGAAAGCCCTCCTCCTTATCCCCAACTATGCTTGTCATGGTGACTGGACTGAGAGGACGGCCTCCCTGGCAGATATTAGAACCCACATCAATTCATAGGGGGGTGGAGGTGGCATGTGGTCATGAAGATAGCAGGACCTGAGCTGTTTAGGGCTTTATAGGTGATAACTAGCACTTTAAATTGCGACCGGAAACTTATCGGCAGCCAATAGAGTTGGTTTAATAGGGGCACCATGTGCTTCCTATAGCTGGCTTTGGTTAGTAGCCTGGCCCCCAAAATAATGGCAGCTGGCCTCCAAAACGTCATTGATACTTTCCCCTTGACTTATCCATAGGTCATATCAAAATCCATAATTTTGACTCCCACAGCTATACTAGACTTATACATAAAGTCAACCTATATATCAATCTATTTGGTAGTTTGGGATGACTCGTATCTTAGATGCAAATGTTTAGATCCTCAAAATAGTGATAAAAAGACCTTGGTGACATGCATTAATTTAAGAGGGCAAATAGTTGTAAGAAGTTTTGCACAAATTTGAAAAGTACAAATTATAGGTGTTTTTAGTAATTCCAGAAACTTCCAAAGTAAACTGCCATAGCTACAGGGTTTCATACTGGGAGAGACTATATATATAATTGTCTCAGAAGAAACAGTGTCAACACGATGGAGTATGATTATCTATGGAGTGATGTAGGAGGGATAGCACTGCTTATCCATCAACCAGAGCACCATAAACTAAATACTTCAGAGGAATAATGTCCACTACAAAATCAATGCAGGTGGAAATACTAGGCTCCAAAAATGTGTAACCATGAGCCTTATAAAAACAGTGATGATGATATTCAGGTAGAGAATTGAATAAGGGAGTCAGAAAAAGAAGAAAATATTGTAGTAATGGTTAACTTCAGTTATCTTTATATAAGATGGATAAATGGATGTTATCCACCTAACTATTTGGTCCTTGATGACTATCATTTGCCACATATATTTAGAGGCATTTCCCATTATTGGACTTTGAAAAAGTTACTTTTTGGATTACAACTCCAGCAGAGAACTATAGTAAGCATTGAAATTGTAATTCCCAAAAACAATGTTTCCAAGATTTCCTATGCTGCTCATTTTTTACTGGAGATTGACAGGATTGAAAATGGAATTTTCTACTAAACACCATGTGCCCCGACGCTTTTTCCCCCTGTCAGGAGCGACTTGAAAAACTGCAAGTTGCTTCTGGTGTGAGAGAATTGGCCATCTGTGAGGACATTGTCCAGGGGATGCCCAAATGTTTTTGATGTTTTACCATCCTTGTGGGAGGCTTCTCTCGTGTCCCCACACGGGGAGCTGGAGCTGACAGAGGGAGCTCATCTGCGCTCTCCCCGAATTCGAAACTCCAACTTGTCGGTCTTCAGTGTAGCCCCATCTAAGCCATTGCCCCATCGGGGGTTCCTTGCCCCGACGCTAAGCTAAAGCCCTTCCTCTTTAGTGAAATGAATAGCTTTGGTTGCTGATGATTAATTAATATCAATTGCAGCCAGTTTTCCTCTAAACCAAGGACTTCATGTTTTGAACAATATTACTGTGATTATTTTTCCCCCCTAAATTAATTCAGTCTATTAAGTCACTACTTCTTTTTACACCCACAACAATTTGTATTGCTTTGTTGTACTTTGCAAGGTCTGCTGTTTCCTCTTAGAGAATCAACTATCAGAAGTGCACATAGAGTTTTCACAGATTTTCTGTACTAACTTATGACAAATTTGGTACTATTTTTACTCTCTCCTAAATATTAATAGTTTCCCTGGCTTTTCAACCGCTGAAACACAAGAAGGCAGAATGTTTGCATTGTCAAATCTGTCAGAGTTCTTCATATCACAGAAACAGAGCTGGAAATAATTCAGAACTCTAGACGTTATTGGACTACAAGTCCCATAACCAACGATAAGGAAAGCTAATACATCAAGCCCAAGGCATCTGGAAGGTCATATTATTCCTATTCTTGGGATATTTATGTTAATAGGGACTGGCAGTGGCTGAAGTATTTTATTCATCGTATTAGGAGCGAACCAAGGGTACAATTGTAATGTATTTTAAAGAACACAAAGTTTAGAAACTTTGGCAATTATATTAAATGTCCTTTGACTAGTAGCTGGCCACTTGGAGTGCCTCTGTGTTGCTATAAGGAGGTCCTCTATTGTGCATGTGGCAGGGCTCTGACTGCATTGTAATAGGTGGTTTGTGGTTTGCTCTTCTCCACATTCGCATGTCGTGGACTCCACTTAAGGTTGACTGCATCTCGTGGTACCAGAGCACAGTCTGTTCAGCACCTTCTAAGTTGCCCAGTCTTCTGTGTGCCCAGGGCAGAATCTCTCATTCAATATCAGCCAT